TAACCGTTCTACATTCAATGGGTGAATAGATCGTGAAGTAGGAAAAGTAATTTTAAGCTTTAATAAAGCGACTGGTTAATATAAATAGTAAATACGAGTACTTGTTTGAAAGCAGGTTAATTAAAAAAACAAATAAAGTTGAGAAACAAATTAAGGAAACGCGAGCAATCTTCTCAGAAGACATTAATGAGATTCCTGACACGCAATTAAGTTGTAGGATTGTTATAAACGAAAGCTAATATCGACGGATGTTAGTACGGAAACTTGTAAAGTGGGGGAGCTCCAGGGAACCCTAAGCTTGCGTCGCATTAATTGCCTCACATGATTCTCCAAAGCTTCCCTCAATTCCTATGACGCTCACATACAGCAAAATTAAAACGATAAAATAAAATAATGGTGAAGGAACAGACATCTCACCACGGCACAAGGGAAAAACATGTAGGATCATTAAATGTGCATCGTGTCCATGAAGATTCTCTCGAGTCCACGCTACAGTACGTTTTCTTCCCATCATAATATACATTCCATCTGCACGAACGAATGCTCAGTTTCCCTAACCCTGACCCTAACCCATCCACTATAATTTATTCATATATTTTGTCCTAGCAAATCGCCCAGGGCACCTTGCGATCAGTTGTGAGGAAATAAGCTAAATGTGGAACATTTTTTAAAACAAGAAGCTATCGCTGAGAAATCAGAGAGTTATACTTTGTCCGCTATATTGAACTGTTTTAATAGTGCATTACAAATAATTAACCCTGTAATCATGTATATGATGGAAAATAAAAATCTACTTGTCTATTCTTTTATATATCTGGTAAATTTAAGGTGTTCACGAGTTCGGAAAATGCTGTGGACTATTGTACAATTAACAAACAAGTCCCATCATTTGTTAATTGCCACAAAAACACACAAGAAAATATCTTATCAGTATTAGACAACCGGGTCAAGATAATAGAGTGGAACTATGCATATATAGAAAAGGGGGTTTAAAAAAAAGGGGGGAGGAAAGGACTCCTCTCCCTCTGTGTGTGTGTGTGTGTTACATTTGTTTTCTCTGGCTTCTTCAATGACATGGCTAAAGTTTAAAGGGATGATTCATAATCCATGAGCACTTACACTTGCTTTAGAAGCTTTGGATTGCTTTCGTTTTTCATTTTTCTTGTTATAAACAAAGATGAAAGAACAGCCTGGGTGCTGTTTAAGTTAATTCATATCTTCTGCTAGTAAAGTAGCAAGATGCTTTACAATAGAGCTTTGTTTTTTAGGCTTAAAATCTAAAGGCTTTGCCGACCCATTGAGCTAATCAGCCCAACCCAACTACGCGTCAACACCTTTGGAATCTGATTCCTCTTTTAACAGAGGAACGGACCAAATGTGAGATCAAGAATAATACTATCTCAAAAAAATATTTGAAAAATGATTTGTTTATATTTATAGGACTCTCGTGTTATAAAATTTGAAGAGTATTTATTTATTTTTCAATACGTTACTATTAAATTTAAGTTCTGGAATGACTTATCATAAAAGGATAATGATAGACAAATAGTTCCAAAATAGGAAAATGATAATTTAATTCCATGTAATAATAATAGTGAGGTCTCAATTTTTTTTTGTATGAAATTACTTTAGTTCTTCTTTGTAGTTAATTTTATATGATTTATAAGTCTGGTATAAATATTTACAAGTTTGGTTTTACTAATAACTAAAATAATTTTAAAAAAATATAATACAACTTTATATCAGTATCTTTCTCTAATCAGCAAAACCTAATATACTTTATAAGTTTGCTATAAATATTTGCATGTTTGGTTTTGTTAATGACTAAAAAGATTTATAGAAGCATAACTTTCTATCGATATAGTCCAACTAATTTTGTATTGCTTACAAATTCAGTTCAATCAATGACTAAAACAATCAAGAAAATAATAACTTTTTAAATAGCAAAAGGATATTAAAGTAATTTCACATATAAATTTAAGTTCAAAGTAGTCCTTTAAAAATGTTATTATTACATTTTGTTGGATCAAATTATCATTTTGCTATTTTAAAAAGATTTATCAATCATTCTCCTTATCATAAACGCTATTTTTCTTGTTAAAAGTTAGTAAATAAAATAGGTGGTATTAAATAAGGATATAAATAAAAAAATAAAAGTATATTCAAGAAATTAATCTGTTAAATTAGTTTAATTAACACCCGAGAATCTGAGTTAGGTAGCTTTATTTTATAAATAGGAATTAAAGGAGCTAAGGTACCATTTGCCTTTTCCAAATGAATAGGCGATGGCGGTGAGGAATTACTTGCTGTCCCCTCGTATTTTCTGCCAAATCTTGCTCTGCTCGGGGTGTTAGCTTGTAATGCTTGGGAAAATATATTCCCATTTACTTGGCGAAGATGTGGGCTGTAACTCAACTGGAAAACGGGAAGACTGAATTCGTGTAAGTTCAAGCTCAAAAAACTAAAGTTTATTATAAGTCCGTAATTCCATTAAAAATAAATTAAAATTAAAATTTTCCTTTCATAATTAAAATTAATCAGTTAATCAGACTGAATTCGTATTTCCAGTAATCAGTTAAAATTAAAATTAAAATTATAAGTCTGTAGTTCAAAGTCGAAAATATATTCCCATCTGTCGTCCAATTTAGCTAGGGTTGAGCTTATAAGTCTGTGTTTATTATAATTTTTATTTTTAGAAAATTAAAATTTTTAATTATAATAATTTATATTGTTGTTTAAAATATAAACTATAATGTAAAAAAAATTAAAAATAAATAATAAAAATTCTAATATTAAAATTTTAAGGCTTGATTTTTTTTAAAGTGCCATTTTTTCAAACCCAAGCTTTTATATAAACAGGGGTTAAATGGGGTGGCTCGCTAGGGTCGGTTCTTAGTTTTTATTCTAGTTGTATGACATATGTTTTTCTTGAAGTTTCTCATGATTTATTATGTCATTCATCACCCATAATTAAGGGCATGCTTGGCAATTTGTTTTAGGAATAGTTTCTTGTTTTTCAAGAAAAAAAAACCTATTTGATAATATATTTTTAAAAAAATATTTTGTAGAATAAAATCAAATATTGTTTTCATGAATAAAAAATACAAACATCTTTTGAATGTTTTTCAGATTAAAACAATTTCAATGAAGCCTCAATACTCCCTCTATCTCAAATTATAAGATATTTTTAGAAAAAATTTGACATCCCAAAATGTAAGGCACTTAGCCAAAAGTAAGGTTTCACTAATAATATTTTCAGTATTATCCATCACATACATTCTCTCTCTTTATTGTTATGTCACAAGCAAAATATTAAATGAACAGTATTTTAAAAATGTATATCTTTGTCTTAAAAAAAAGGTTGTAAGATGTACTTAATAAATTTTATTTGTATATGTAATTTTATTTAAAAGTATATAAAATTTGGGATAGAGGAAGAGCGATTTTTTTTAGAAGTTTTGTATTATATGCACAAATTTTATCTTAAATGGGATTAGGGCAAACAAAATCACATCAAAAAAGTATTAATTATGACTATTGAATATTAATTGATAATCGGACAAGTAGGGCTGTATGTGGGTAGGGCAAGGCCCATGCTTGATGCCCAGCTTAGAGGTTGAACGAGCTGCAAAATGCAACCCTTTACTCAATAAAAACTCCAACATTTTGAGTTGGGCACCTTCAAGTCGTTCTGCGTAATTGATAGCACCCAATTTAAGCCTAACAAACATCATTTAAAAGGAAAATATATTTAATATTTCAATCCAAAATAACATCCATGCTTCGTGAATCCATGTTCTAAGAGTTAGAAACCTATTATCAAATAACAAACAATAATAACAAGCTTCAGCTGAAAATAGAATAAGTAACAAACAAAACAACAGACAGCTAGGGATTTCACCATGGCATTAAATATAAATACTAGATGAAATGCTATTATTAGAGGTGTCAATACTCAATATCCTAAATTTACATAATAAATGCACGAATTTCTAACTTAACATATGAATTGAAAATATATATTATTAGGAGAAGAATACAACATGAAACACACATTTTAAAACTTAAGCTAAAAATATAAATTATATTATACAACATATATAAATCTAAGGCATGGCCAAATGGACAGGATATGTCGCCTAGCCTTGCCCAACCCAAATCATGTCAGGCAACGGGGCACCATGAACAGCCAGACTAGCAATCATAATAATTATATTTTTGAAGAAAAGTAAAAATATACTTTATTTTTCATTTGAATATAATAATATTTAAATTCAAAGCAAACATGTACCTCACGAAAATGGGATTAAAAAACTAATTAGACCTCATGAGAGGCAAAACATAATATACACGGAATGTACTTTTTTGGCCTATTTACAGATCAGAGGGAGGATTAATTTTAGTATTATTTAAAAAATAATTCATTATTTGTTATGTTCATCTCTATTTTTTTCTTAGTAAAATATTAAAAGATTATTAAAAATAATTTATTTTGTGTTTATTAGAGAAAAAAGTGACCACTTACTAAATTTTAAGGTAAGGGTAATGAAATTTAATTTTTTTTTCTTGCAGTAATTTAAAAAGGATTTATAAATGTTGGTAAAAAAAAAAGGATTTATAAATAAAATCGCACCAAGTCTAAAGAGTGATTGCACCCGCACTCGCGCAGGGCGCCGTTGCATTAACACTCGTAATCCCGTATCGTCTGACAACGCTGGCTGATTGGCTGAAATCAGGAAAAGGAGCGGAAAGATTCTGAAGCCATTTTGCTGTTGCATTTTTGGGCCACACAAATGGCAGCGAAACACGAAGCCACACTTGTAGTATTTACTGTGAACGGACGAAAAGTCACAGATATTTTCATTTTCATTGCACAGCCTAAACCTACCGCCTCGACCACGACCCTCGCCACGCTCCTCACTCATCTTCTCAATTATGTCCCTCCACGTGTCACTTGCTCATATGGTTAATGCCTTTATTCTCTGCCCTCGCATCACATCCTTATGCCTGCCCCTTGCGCCCTTGCTTTACTCTGTTCATCTCTCTATTCTGCTTCCGGATTTCTCTACATTCCAGCCCTGTTCATCTTCTTCTCTTGTCTTGCCAAACCTTTCTCGTCCGCACTGTTTCATCAAGAAATCATGCTTCTTAAAACTACCGCTGCCTCTTCTCTCTCTCTCTCCAATGCTAATGGCGACCATCTAGGCTCTCTGTTTTCGCGGTTTAACTCGTCTGCTTCTCTGTCCTCCATTCTCCCCTTCTCTCCTGGGAAAAATGCAAGTGGTTTGGTGCTTTGTGCCTCTAAAAGTGGGAACAATCGACCCCTTACCGGAGTTGTCTTTGAACCCTTTGAAGAGGTTAAAAAGGAGCTCAGTCTTGTTCCCGACGTCCCTCAAGTTTCTCTTGCTCGACGGAATTTTTTGGACGAGTGTGAGGCTGCTATCAACGAGCAAATCAAGTAAGTTTCTTCATTCTGCTGTATCTTTGTTTATCAAGGTTTTAATATAGTGTTCTGAGTCCTTGAATGTCCGGCTTATTTTTTCATTAACAACCTCACAGCAGCAACTAGAGGGCATAACATCGGGATATCCCACATAAATATCGGATTTTCTCGAAGGGACAGTATATATCATATATATATGTTTCCTGCTCATAGATGCTTAATCGTTTTGAAATCTTTACCAGCTAATGGTTATCTCTTTTGCGATTGGCTTCTTGCATTACAGTGTGGAGTACAACGTCTCCTACGTTTACCATGCAATGTTTGCTTATTTTGATAGGGATAATGTCGCTCTCAAGGGTCTTGCCAAGTAATGCTCTGTTTTTCTTTGCGATCTCTCGGTCATTTTCACTTGCTCTTTCAGCACTGATTAATCATTATTGTTTAACAGGTTTTTCAGGGAATCAAGTGAAGAAGAAAGAGGTCATGCTGAGAAATTGATGGAATACCAGGTATTTAACTTTGTCGTTGAGATACAGCAAGAAATCTTCCAGTGCTTTCTCCTTCGTCGTCATATTGAATTCGTTCTATGTGTGTTGCTGTGAATTTCAGAATAAAAGGGGTGGGAGAGTAAAGCTGCAGTCTATTGTGATGCCACTTTCTGAGTTTGATCATGAGGAAAAGGGAGATGGCCTTTATGGTTCGTTTTTTGGGCCTGCTTGTGTTTTGCATGGCTTAGGTTCTAGTTGCAAATGCACGCTTGATGGATTTAAATGATATGCTCTAAAACTGATGATAGTTTTTTCACTAACCGCATTTTTGTGCACATATCCTTGTGAGATATGCCGTTGTTGACTTGTTGAACATGAGCATTTTTTTTTTTTTTAGAACTAGTGATGCAACTTTAACTTTTAATTAATCATTTAATTTTGATTCAATTATAATTTAATTTTAAAACTTTAATCTATTATAATTCAATCTCTAAAATTTTAACTCAGTCAGCCTTTAAATTTTTGACTTGCTGCAATTTTATCTTTGTAGTTTTAACTATTTATAATGTTGGTCCTTTTATGTTAAAAATAAAATTCTAAAAATTAAAATTATGTTGACATTTAAGGATTAATATTTAAAATAGTTAAAACTATAAAAATTGAATTACATCGAGTTAAAATTTAGAGATTTAATAGTAATTTAGTTAAAATTTTAAAAATTGAATTATAATGAGTCAAAATTTAAATATTAAATGATAGTTGAGCCAAAACTATATGGACTAAATGATTAATTTTTTCCTTTTAATTTTAGCAACAAATTTAGTTCATTAGTTGCAATTAGAACTTTCCTGCGTTTCCTTTGTCTTCCCCTGTTAATTTATTTTTTTTGTTCTTTAACTTCATGACCCTTTGAACATCAGTAGCCTGGCCTTACTTGTAATGCTTGGAGAAAATTCTAGGTGAAGTAGATGCTTCTGCAGGATTACGCAGAAAATAGATGTCCTATATCTAAAGATATAATGTTTAGATATGCAAACTTTAATGTGTTCTGTCACGCACAACAATGTATTTATTATCTCTGCTAGTTGACATGATGTAGAAAGTAGAATACAAGTGAGGCGTTGTCGGTGGATTTTCTACAACGAATTGTTCCACATTTTTCATCACTAAGCAAACGTGCATTTATTTGCCCGTTACAGCTATGGAGCTTGCTCTATCATTAGAGAAGTTAACTAATGAGAAGCTCCTAAACTTGCACAGAGTAAGACAAGTTTGCTTCATATTCAGTCTTGTTGGATTAACTGCATATGCTTTCTTTCACCTGTCTTAGTCATGTGCTACTGGCATTGCTAGAGGGAAAGCTTTTTTCTTCTGACTTGAGGCATGTTGGTTAATAGGTTGCCACAAAAAACAATGATGTGCAGTTGGCAGATTTCGTTGAAAGCGAGTTTTTGGGTGAACAGGTAATTATAATTTTGATGTCGAAATTTTAGAGTTTGCTCTTTGTAACTATTAATCATTGTAATAAACTGCGCACGATTTGCATCTGCATGGATCTAATTTCTGATATTTAAATGTGTTTATTGTAGGTTGAGGCCGTTAAAAGAATGTCCGAGTATGTCGCTCAGCTCAGAAGAGTGGGCAAGGGGCACGGTAAGAATCCCAGATTTAGCTGCATAAAACATACTGCTATAGTTTACATGCAAGTGTTTTCTGTGTCTGGCTTCACCGTCTTTTTCCAAATGTTCACATCTTGGTGCCTCATTGTGGACTTGCAGGTGTTTGGCACTTTGATCAGACGCTGCTCCACGAGGAAGCTGCTCGTGGAGTTGCTGCTTAAAGATTTTTTTTCCCCCAATTTTGCTCTCGTCCTCTGGCCAATTCTCTCTAGATTCTTTGTATGGAGTAGAGTAGTCTATGTACTTGCAGTGTTTTGGCTGGGGGGTATTGAACTGAAAGCTGCAAAATTGGACGTTGAATAATTTTGTCACTTTTATTGTCAAATAAGATTATGTCTGGTTGTTGTCTGGTCTTTTTAATTGAACCATTCCTAGTGAATGCAATTAGACACTTTTAATGAAACATTGCCTATACAGTAATAGTAGACCATACAGGGGAGATAAAATTGACAAATCATCCACAGGTTTATTTTTGGGGAAAGTACATTCAGGTTTCGTATAAAAAAATTAATTATTACAATCCCGATAGTTGAATTAAAAAGATTGATAATAAAATTAGGTGCCAATTTTTTTATTTCAATTGTCATTGAACTTTATGATAATTAATTTTTTTATATAAAACTTTAACGTAATTTTCCTTTTAATTTTTAAATGCAACGTTTACTCAATAAGTTCATTTTAACTGAGGTTTTTTAAGAGACTCAAAACAAGAAAACAAAGGTATTATGAAAACTTGTCATATTTAAAATTTTATCATTACACTTGTTAGGATGGGTTTTTAAGATGGATTATGTCTCATTAAATTTTTAATTAATGAAATTTAAACTTTGTCAAGACTTATTCAATTATTCTTACGTTTTGACCATCGGGTAGAAATAATATACTTGGGAAAAAGTCTCACATTTAATGGTTAAAAAGCAAGTTAAGAATGTATGAAATTTTATATGTATTTAATTAAATGGTTTAAATTATTTTGATAAAATAAAATATCCTCTAGTATAGTATTGAATAGGGTGTAATGTATTTGGATTTTAATTGGGAAAAATTTGATTGTGTAAAAAACTGACAGAATATGATAATATTTGAATAATATTTTTAATATTGATTTTGCAAAATCAATTTACTAAATAGAGAAAAAAATTAGTTTATGCCAAACGAAGTTTTAGGGACCAAATAAAATTTAAAAAAAATTGGAGTGTTTGGACGATTTTTTCCAAAATCAAGATAAATCAAAATAGATATTGCTAGTTTTCTTTTTTGGCCACAGAGTAACTCTTCTCTCTTAGAATCCTGTAACGAGGCTCTAAACCCAACTTCCTCTTGCATTGAGTGTCCATAAAAACCTAGAGAGCACCAAAAGTTTCAAATCAATGAAGGTCATTGCTCAAGCACAACAGCATGGAGCGAATGATTTATCTTGCTAACTCTCACCACTAGGTTACGAGGGACCAATAGCCTAGTCAAAGCAGGTTGGGTTGAGCTTGTTATTATCGATAGAGTATATTCTAGCTTGCGAAGAGGGGTACAACAAGAGCAAGCTTGTTCATTCTCTAATGTTCCCATGTTGCCACTGAAACTGTAGATATTGATTTAGGGTATCCTTCCAACTACATTTTTTTTTAAGAGAAGGCCATAGAAAAACCGTACAAATAGGCAAATTAAGTTATATTATAGTACAAAAGGTTTTTATAACCAAAGGTGAGTTATTAAAAATTTGAACATTTAAAGTGTTAGAAGAAACTTGATGAGCCATTTAGTCTGTGTATTTATTAGTCTTTCTAAAAACGTGATCAAAAGTGATCATTTAATCTCCCATCAGAAGTTCTCTAATTTTATTAATAGTTGCAATTAAAGGGTAATTAATAAAAAACTCGTTGCATATTAACATGAGTGTTTCGGTAGAATTAGAGTATATGTTAACTTTGTTGAACTTTTTAGCTCAACAAATATTTAGTCCTTCAAGGATACCTATAAGTTCAGATGCTATGCTAAGATGATAGTAAAAAAAATTTAGTGAAGCATTTAATCCAATTGCCTTAGTTGTCAAAACCACCATAAGAAATTTCACGTTGATTGTTGAATCTAGCTACAGTTTTGATCATCAATATGTTAGCTTTGTTTCATTTCTTGATCGTCGACATTAATGGTTTGCTGTTGACAATTCATTGCTTACTTATCTTTTGTTTGATTAGAAATATTTTATCAATGTCATTGTGTTAGTCCATTCAGTATTTGTACATCATTTTCTCCTTCTCTTTCCACTTTAATGCACAGCGTAAGAATTGATAAAAGGAACCCTGAGTGCAAGTGTAAACCTCTGATTTTTTTTTCTCTTGTTGTTGTTCAGGCAAGACTGGGAATCTGTTTTGGATTTTAGTCATTAACCATGTAAAAATCTAGCGTGTTACTGTATAAAGAAAATTATTGCATATTCCAGGGTTCAATAAGGAAGGGAACATTTGAGACAAATATGAAATACCTTCTTCATAAATCTGGGACTTTGTCTCTCGACTTTATATTTTGCTGGAAACTTGAATTGTTGTGAAAATTGATTTGTACCACTAAAATTAGCATATTATTAAGACTAGCAGCTCAATTTATGAACAAATTCATGGTTTACACTATATGGAGTGGAGAACTAGGTTAATAGCATTGCGCATGTTTTAATAGTGTTTAAACCCTGAGTTTTTGAAAAGCCTACTGTGGGAATCTGCAATTCAATTATGGATTTGTGATGTTCTTTGTTAGCCTTTAGAGTTTGAGGGAAACCCAAGTTTTCCAATTCTAACATTCTTTGACTTCAACGCATCTGTTGTCACTTGTTACTGTAGCATGCTAGTCACGCCAGCCACAAATTTTCAACTTTTATTTTTATCCTTTCTCGTTGCAACGATTTTTATAGCATGACCATACTTCTTTTAAGTTTTATTTGATTGAAGGGGAGGGAGTAGAAAAAAAGGAAGGGAGGGGGAGGGGATTTAGGGGGGTTTTGTAGGGAGAGGAATTTTTTTTTTTTCTCCAATCAAACATTACCTTAATTTTTAAAATGATGCTGTTACGTTACCCACAAAAAATAAAAAAAAAGGTGCAGTTGCTGACAATTCCTCAAAAGTAACAATAACCTCATACTGCCACTGACTGAACAATAGTTTTAAGTAGCTAGTTTTTCGATTTTCTTAATTTGCTAAACTAAAATTAGTTAGCCTTTTGCAGTTCCTTGTCCACGTTGGGTGCCCTTTATAGCATATATAGGGATCATGTCTTTGAGGCAAGCATTATTTTTTATTATCAGAAAAATATAATTTTAAGTTCAGCACTTTTTTCAATGTTTTATATTATTTTTAAGTATTTTAAATTCTTAAATGAATAAAGTATAGAAATTTAAAATATTTAAAATAAAAATTTAACAATTTAAAATATTAAAAAAATATAAAAATATATAATAAAATATGAGTGAAATATTGGGATTTAAAATTATATTTTTTTATTATTTTAATTGTGATCTGATTCTTTTTAATTGCTTGGTAGTTGGTATAGACTTCATAACGTGTAGGCATTTAAAATGATTGTGACCGGTCCCCGATTCGCTTTCAAGTCCTCTGACCTGTGAAGTTGAGGGCTCTAATGGGAAGGTTGTAAAATTTTGCCACGTGTCCTTTTTTTGAATGAAAGATTCTTAAATCATAGATCGCCCTCTAAATTCTTTTGAACCTTCAAAATTTGGATCTTCGGCTTTTTTCCTTTTTCTTTTTTTTTTTTTGCTCGTGATCTAATTTTTTGTCCATCCACCTTTGGAATCTTCCTTTGTGTTATCTCTAGGATTGGGGTTTGAGGCATTATCATTGTGTTGGTAGCTGAAGCGGGACACATGGCCAGTTGCATCGTCAGGATAACCATTCAGTGGTCAAGAACCAGGATTTGATGCAGGAATTGGAGAAGCTGATTTGGAGAACCAGATAGCGACAGCTTTAACCGAATCTTCATTCTCCATTTTGTTGTCGAGAGATTTCAAAAAAAAAAAAATTGTATCATGCGAACTTCAAATCACTTGGGATTGAGATATTTTGTCGAAGAGAATACTCAGTCTTATTATATTTGCTTTTGTTGTGTTTTTATTTTCATTATTATCTATCTGTCTTGGATGTTGACCTCAGCAATCTCTCCCTTTGCATTAATATTTCTTTTCCAAGAATAACGAAACATTTGAAACAGAGGACACGTGGTCGCGCGGTTGATCTAAGCTTCATTTTGTCATGCAATTTGAGGCTCTGGAGGTTCAAGTGAGCATTTTAAATTGAAAATATTGGAGAAAATAGGAGTTGAAATGTTGAATATAAATTGAAGTTCAATTCAAATATTCACTATCTCAATTGCTAACTAATTTTTTAATAATAATAATACCAGTTAAGATATATTTAATCTTGTTAGTATCTTAAATGATTATGTCAATTTAAAAATGATAAAGTAGTAAATTTAATCACAAACTATTTTTTCAAGAGCATCTGGTAACTTGAACTATCAGATGGTACAAAATAAATTATGAACTTTAAAAAATAAAGTATCCAGTGACTCACCGTTAACTTCAGCTAACAGATGTTATGTAAGGTCCACAATGACACATGGCAAGACACGGGCACGACACGTCAGCATGGTAAAGGTGTAAATTTAGCTGCGAACTATTTTTCAAGAGGTGCTGGGTAGCCTCTACTATAAAAAAAACAGACCATCCAACACTTTCCCGTCAATTTTGATCATACATTGTTTATTTTCATATTTATGAAGCCCAAAAAGCATTAATTTATCCAATATTCTTGCATTTGTTCTCAATATAAGTTACAGAATAAGAGGTTCAATGAATTCTTATCCGAAGACATTCACAAGGATGATGTTAATAAAGTATAAGCTTAATTTACTATGCATGCATGTGAAAAGCTTAATTGTAGCTTAATTTAGTTATAAATTATTTCTTATACTTTGTTAACGTCATTTTTGTGAATATCTTTAGATAAAAACTCTTTAAACCTCTTCTTTTTGAGTTGAGATTGAGAACGAATGTCAAAAGATGGAGATATTAATGCTTTATAGACCTCATAAGTATTAAAATAAATAATGTTTGGTCAAAATTGAGGGGAAGATGTTAGATGATCCATTTTTTATAGCAGAGGCTACCCAACACTTTTCAAAAAATAGTTCGTGGCTAAATTTATACCTTCACCATGCTGACGTGTCGTGCACATATCATGCTACATGTTATTGTAGGCCTCACATAATGTCTGTTAGCTGAAGTTAACGGCGGGTTACTGGATGCTCCATTTTTAAAAGTTTATGATTTATTTCGTAACATTTGATAGTTTAGGTTATTAAATGCTCCTAAAAAAATAATTTGGGATTAAATTTACACTT